CTGGGTATGGCTTTCAATGTGTATTAAGGTTACGAAGGCTGCTTGGAAACTAGAAGGTATATTGATAAAATTGTATTGATAAAAGTGCAACTGGCCCGTATGGGGATCGAACCCACGACATCCGCGTTATTAGCACGGCGCTCTAACCAACTGAGCTAACAGGCCCACGGCAACTCATGATAGCATTGCTTGTATATATATATTAAACTCTTGCATTACTGAATTACTGTATTCCGTATGCCCAATCGTAAATTTTTCATATTACAAAATAAACTTATATATTAAAGACAAAAATATTGATAGAAATAAGTTACATATTCTGCCTAAAATATCGGGGTTAGTCCTATTGAGTTTTCTATGATGCCTTTTAAGTTTTCTATGATGCCTTCATAGATTTAAGGGGAAACTAAGACATTTCTGTTAGTTCCTTTTCAACATTAAGATTTTTACCCGAGGGCCACTAACTCTAGTGGCCTCGACGAGGACACAAGATGGGAAGGTAGTGAAGAATTACCTAAGAAATTGTTTCCCTTGGTTTTTTTCCTACTGGCCTTACCAAGCTGCAACCCTCCTGGGTACCACGTTACACCTAGGTGAACAGGGGCATTAGGTGTGAAGGCAACATGCTCAACCTTTTGTCCTGACTGAGAATTGAACCCCCTGGATCTTAGACTATGAGGCGTCGATGTAGATCACCGCCACAAAACTACTAAATGTAAAGCTGTTCAGCACATCGTTAACCAATGGTTCAAACTGAGCAACTCTTGGTCAGTTGAACCTTTTATGCTTGCTTCTAATGTTGTTGTTGTTATAGATTCAGCTACTCGGAACAAGTTCCAAGTAGCACGGGCTATGGTGAGCCCGTAACTTACCTGGAACAGGAGCGGGGCAAGTAGCACGGGCTATGGAGAGCCCGTAGTGGACTTACCTGGCACACCTGCTTCTAATGGAATGATATTTTACAGGACAGGAAATTACAGCCGCTTCTGTTAATCTGACCCTCTTGCTGCGTTTGGTTACGTTGGGTGAGTATGTGGTGGTGTGGTTGGTTATGTTGGGTGCATATGTGGTGGTGTGGTTGGTTATGTTGGGTGCGTATGTGGTGTGGTTGGTTATGTTGGGTGCGTATGTGGTGTGGGACCATGGTTATGTTGGGTGCGTATGTGGTGTGGTTGGTTATGTTGGGTGCGTATGTGGTGTGGTTGGTTATGTTGGGTGCGTATGTGGTGTGGTTGGTTATGTTGGGTGCGTATGTGGTGGTGTGGTTGGTTATGTTGGGTGCGTATGTGGTGTGGTTGGTTATGTTGGGTGCGTATGTGGTGGTGTGGTTGGTTATGTTGGGTGCGTATGTGGAGGTGTGGCTGGTTATGTTGGGTGCGTATGTGGTGGTGTGGCTGGTTATGTTGTGTTCGTATGTGGTGGTGTGGCTGGTTATGTTGGGTGCGTATGTGGTGGTGTGGCTGGTTATGTTGTGTTCGTATGTGGTGGTGTGGCTGGTTATGTTGTGTTCGTATGTGGTGGTGTGGTTGGTTATGTTGGGTGCATATGTGGTGGTGTGGCTGGTTATGTTGGGTGCGTATGTGGTGGTGTGGTTGGTTATGTTGGGTGCATATGTGGTGGTGTGGTTGGTTATGTTGGGTGCATATGTGGTGGTGTGGTTGGTTATGTTGGGTGCATATGTGGTGGTGTGGTTGGTTATGTTGGGTTCGTATGTGGTGGTGTGGTTGGTTATGCTGGGTGCGTATGTGGTGGTGTGGTTGGTTATGCTGGGTGCGTATGTGGTGGTGTGGTTGGTTATGCTGGGTGCGTATGTGGTGGTGTGGTTGGTTATGTTGGGTGCGTATGTGGTGGTGTGGTTGGTTATGTTGGGTGCGTATGTGGTGGTGTGGTTGGTTATGTTGGGTGCGTATGTGGTGGTGTGGTTGGTTATGTTGGGTGCGTATGTGGTGGTGTGGTTGGTTATGTTGGGTGCATATGTGGTGGTGTGGTTGGTTATGTTGGGTGCATATGTGGTGTGGTTGGTTATGTTGGGTGCGTATGTTGAAGTATGGTTGGTTATGTTGGGTGTACAGAAATGGCCGGGGATGTTCCCTTTCACCTCATGCCTCTGTTCACCTAGCAGTAAATAGGTACCTGTGAGTCAGGCAACTGTTATTGGGGCATCATCCTGGTGAAGGTCAGTAGCTCGACCTCGGAGGGACCTCAACACACGCTAAATTATATATATATATATATATATATATATATATATATATATATATATATATATATATATATATATATATATATATATATATATATAATCTCACACACACACACACACACACACACACACACACACACACACACACAACAAAACGAATAATTAATGGTAATTGAAATTGTAAAATCTACACCGTTCTCGGGGATCGTGTCCTCGGGATAATGTGATTACTACGAGACACCAAACTCGTTATCCCACTACCTGGATAGTTATCTAAATATATGTGATGGTCTGAAAGCATATTGCGGTTTCAGTTTATGCTAAAGAATATTGAATTTATTGCCAATACTTCTAGAAATACATCCAGGAATCCTATTTGCGTATTCCGTCTATTTGTACATTTGTTTGTTTGGTTTAAGATTCACCAATAACAACTACAACATCTTCGGTTTACATTTCACAGTTTCATCACTGTGAAATATAGGTCCAGGTAATATATATATATATATATATATATATATATATATATATATATATATATATATATATATATATATATATATATATATATATATATATATATATATATATATATATATATGTATATATGTATATATATATATATGTATATATATGTATATATGTATATATATATATATGTATATATATATATATATGTATATATATATATATATATATATGTATATATATATATATATGTATATATATATATATATATATATATATATATATATATATATATATATATATAATTTTTTTTTTTTTGTTTTTTTTGAGATATATACAAGAGTGGTTACATTCTTGTACAGCCACTAGTACGCGTAGCGTATATATATATATATATATATATATATATATATATATATATATATATATATATATATATATATATATATATGTCGTACCTAGTAGCCAGAACGCACTTCTCAGCCTACAATGCAAGGCCCGATTTGCCTAATAAGCCAAGTTTTCCTGAATTATTATATTTTCTCAAATTTTTTTCTTATGAAATGATAAAGCTACCCATTTCATTATGTATGAGGTCAATTTTTTTTATTGGAGTTAAAATTAACGTAGATATATGACCGAACCTAACCAACCCTACCTAACCTAACCTAACCTATCTTTATAGGTTAGGTTAGGTTAGGTAGCCGAAAAAGCTAGGTTAGGTTAGGTTAGGTAGGTTAGGTAGTCGAAAAACAATTAATTCATGAAAACCTGGCTTATTAGGCAAATTGGGCCTTGCATAGTAGGCTGAGAAGTGCGTTCTGGCTACTAGGTACGACATATATATATATATATATATATATATATATATATGTCGTACCTAGTAGCCAGAACTCACTTCTCAGCCTACTATGCAAGGCCCGATTTGCCTAATAAGCCAAGTTTTCATGAATTAATGTTTTTTCGTCTACCTAACCTACCTAACCTAACCTAACCTAGCTTTTTTTGGCTACCTAACCTAACCTTACCTATAAAGATAGGTTAGATTAGGTTAGGTAGGGTTGGTTAGGTTCGGTCATATATCTACGTTAATTTTAACTCCAATAAAAAAAATTGACCTCATACATAATGAAATGGGTAGCTTTATCATTTCATAAGAAAAAAATTATATAAAATATATTAATTCATGAAAACTTGGCTTATTAGGCAAATCGGGCCTTGCATAGTAGGCTGAGAAGTGAGTTCTGGCTACTAGGTACGACATATATATATATATATATATATATATATATATATATATATAATAAATAAATAATGTCGTACCTAGTGTAGCCAGAACGCACTTCTCGGCCTACTATGCAAGGCCCGATTTGCTTAATAAGCCAAGTTTTCCTGAATTAATATATTCATTTTTTTCTTCTGAAATGATAAAGCTACCCATTTTATTATGTATGAGGTCAATTTTATTTTATTGGAGTTAAAATTAACGTAGGTATATGACCGAACTTAACCAACCCTACCTAACCTAACCTATCTTTATAGGTTAGGTTAGGTAGCCGAAAAAGTTAGGTTAGGTTAGGTAGGTTAGGTAGTCGAAAAACAATTAATTCATGAAAACTTGGCTTATTAGGCAAATCGGGCCTTGAATAGTAGGCAGAGAAGTGCGTTCTGGCTACTAGGTACGACATATATATATATATATATATATATATATATATATATATATATATATATATATATATATGCAATTGACGATCACAAAACACTGATCATTTCATATTTCTCTGTGGATTTTCCGCATATATATATACATATATATATATATATATATATATATATATATATATATATATATATATATATATATATATAATATAGACTTTCTCTCGAACCGTATTTTGATGTAAAAATCCCCAAACGTCAAAATATGATGTGCAATAAATCATAGCAGCTCGCGAAGTTGACACGCTGTTATGTTTTCTATTCACGGGCCCAGAGGTCAGGTCAGGTCGGGCCAGGACAGGACAGGTCAGGTCGGGCCAGGACAGGACAGGTCAGGTCGGGCCAGGACAGGTCAGGTCATGTCAGTACATCATTTTTGTGACAACTCGAGAGGAGGAGCTGTATCATTACCTATGCTCTGGACCCCAATATTATTTAACCATTGAACTTCTACGAACCTTTCGACCATTTTAAATGACTAAATCGTCTCTATCGATTTTAAGTACTGTTTCCGAATTTATTTCCTGTTATATTTTTGTGTCTGCAAATTTGTAAATTTTGATGTCCATTCCCGTGTCTAAATTGTTTATATACAAAAAAAACAAACCTCTTGTAAGTCGAAAAGAGTTTCCTGAATTTGCTGTTCCATAATTACATGCTCCTTGTACGTTTTCTTGGTAGCTTCCTTTTCCATGTCGAAGTTTCCCCTCATTCTTGGATTCTTTTTCATCTCCATAAGCTCTTCTACCAGTTTCGTGAAGTCTGTTCCCTCATCTGCGAGTTCCTCACACCTTCAATTCAATAAATCGAAATTAAAACATAAGAATTCAGGAAACTGTAAAAGGCCTATTGGCCCATACGAGGCAGCTCCTATTTATATGCAATCAAACTCGCTCATATACAAGGGCTACAAGATAACCTAGACAAACTGAAGGAATGGTCCAATAAATGGCTACTATAGTTCAACCTAAGTAAATGTTAGGTGATGCAACTAGGTATAAAGAACAGGGGGCCAGACACAGGATACCGAATGGGAGATGAAGTTCTTCATGAAACGGACAGAGAGAAAGATGCTGATATCACGCCGAACCTGTCTCCTGAAGCTCACATCAAAAGAATAACAGCGGCGGTTGCAAGTTTGGCTAACATCAGAACTGCCTTCAGAAACCTGTGTAAGGTATTCAGAACCTTGTATATCACTTACACGTAAGACCAATCGTGGAGTATGCGACCCCAGCATGGAGCCCGTATCTTGTCAAGTACAAGATGAAGCCAGAGAAAGTTCAGAGGTATGCCAGTAGACCACTCTCAGAAATAAGAGGCATGAGTTACGAGGGAAGGCTACGTGAATTGAACCTCGCTGGAAGACAGAAGAGCTCGGGAAGACATGATCATCACATACTAAATTCTCGAGTGCTTTGCCAGGATAGATAAGGATGAATTATTTAACATAGGTGGTACACGAACAGGGGACACATATGGAAGCTGAGTACCCAAATGAGCCACAGGGACGTTAGAAAGAACTTTTTCAGTGTCAGAGTAGTTAGTAAATGGAATGAGAAGTGATGTGGTGGAGGCTGACTCCATACACAGTTTCAAATGTAGATATGATAGAGCTCGAGAAGCTCAGGAAACTGTACACTAGTAAATTGAGGGTTGAGAGGCGGGACCAAAGAGCCTCAACTCAACCCCCACAAGCACAACTGGGTGAGCTCCTATCTACCCTGTGCTTGATACAATTTGGTGATCCCACGACTATCATGATATTTGGTTATCTTCCATCATGTCACCCTTAACATGCCCTAGTATATAAATTGTTAAATGTGAAGGTTGCAGCATATTTCTCGCCTAACCGAAAGCAAATACATTTTTGGTTTTCATACATACAATTTGTTAAGTGTAGATAGTAAATGCGGGTGACTGCACCCACAGCCGCCCACTGAATGGGAAGTGTATATAGTGTATATAAGTTCACCACACATAAGCCTCTAGGGTGTGGCACTCTGGTAAGTTTAGGTAAGTTGCTTAGCTTAGAGACCAGTTGTGGTCGTTCTCGAACACATTGCTGATATGTGCATTAAACTGGAGCCTGCTTAGCTAAATTAATTTTGAGGTTCATTTCCTGAGCCCATTATGTCCATCTACATAATTTTTCCACTACCGCACTCAGGATGAGTATGGGGTCTACAACCCCGTTCAGGATGGGTATGGGGTCCACTACCGCTCTCAGGATGGGTATGGGGTCTGCAATCTCGTTCAGGATGGGTATGGGGTCCACTACCGCTCTCAGGATGGGTATGGGGTCTGCAATCTCGTTCAGGATGGGTATGGGGTCCACTACCGCTCTCAGGATGGGTATGGGGTCTACAATCTCGTTCAGGATGGGTATGGGGTCCACTACCGCTCTCAGGATGGGTATGGGGTCTACAATCTCGTTCAGGATGGGTATGGGGTCCACTACCGCTCTCAGGATGGGTATGGGGTCCACTACCGCTCTCAGGATGGGTATGGGGTCCACTACCGCTCTCAGGATGGGTATGGGGTCTACTACCACACTCAGGATTCATATAGGGTGCATAATAAATTACCTAAACTAAACTTCAATGTCTAACACAACTGGGTTGCACACATCCCACCAATCTGAAAAGAAAAAAATTGAAAACGTTTCGGTCCGTCCTCGACCATTATCAAGTTGAGCCAAGCAAATTGCTTAACTTAATTAAGGGAGCGTTGCTATATATACATATACCATTATGGTATTATTGTGGGATCAACACATGCACTGTCGCAGGAAAAATAGCAATCAGGGTGCTGGAATTTACAGTGAGAAACTTCAGCAAGCACAAGTCAAGTCACCCTTCTGTTCTCTCTAAGAAGACACGTTCCGAGGGGGATGTAGTAAAGGAACAAATCCACAAGGGCCGTGACGAGGATTCGAACCTGCGTCCGGGAGCATCCCAGACACTGCCTTAATCGACTGAGCTACGACAGGGTTAATCCTCGTCATGGCCCTTGTGGATTTGTTCATTTGATGCATCACGTTAGTGTGATCTCTGTGTGTGATGTAGTAAAGGTTTTCCAGTCCGTTAGGGACAAACAGTGTCCCTGAAACTGTCACAAAAGAACCTGCAACAATGGGCACAGGCTGGGAAATATTGGTCCTTCCATATAGGGAAGAACTGGTTAGGGGATAGGGTTGTGGATGAGTGGAGTTGGTACATGGCTGAGATGTACCAATGATGGATTTAAATGGGTCCCGCTTAATGAGATCCACCAGGCAGGCTGTGGTACTCTTAATTCTTGTTTTCTGTAAGAAAAGATGGTGCTCTACTGCCCCCTTACACAAGTAGGAGGAATTTTAGTTCATATAAACATTACATAAAGGAAACAGTAGGAGGCATATTAGTCATATGAAGCAGCTCGCATTTATATCCACCAAAATTCACGTCTATCCTTTGCTTGAAACAATCCATCGATCCCACGTCTATTATGTTACTCGATAATTTGTTTCATAAACAATCCCGTTTCCAAACCAGTATTTACCCAGGTCTATACTGAATCTTAACTTCTCCAACTGAGAGCCGAGCTTCACTAGATGAAACTTTATACAGCTTACCTTTCCCTCAGGTAATCAGGCTGGGCATCAGGAAACAGACTTATGAGCTCCGCGTGCCGGGCAGCTAATTTGTGTTCCAGTGCTTCTGCCAGAGTGTATTCTCCGGCCAGAGACAAGGCCATCTGATGGTCGTCTTCCACTTGGCTTCCTCCTGCTGCTCTGGACTCGTCTCCTGCAGCTGCCGCATTGTCTTCTGTCCAGTCTGCTTGTGTCAGGAACACTCTATCAAAAGTCATTGGATCTGTTACTGGACTAGAGCGTTCTTCTGGTGACATCACCAGGCGTTCAGCACCTGATAGTTCTCGTTCGCTGGCTTCGCTGACCTTTGCTAAATGCTCATTGTCCTCTGTGGTCCCCGCTGCTCCTCTTGGGGACTCGGCATGCCCTTCCACTGATCTTAGGTTACCTTCCTCATAATTACTGTTATCCAGGTGCTCAAGGAGGCTCGACATGAGGTCCGCCACCTCATCTTCATCCTTTAATACCTTCAGCTGTTCTCGGAGGATGACTTCATCTACCCCCGGCACTATGGCACTGATGAACTCTACCTTCTCCTCCACCCATTTTACACTACTGTCGCTCATCCTGGAAAGATCAAATGAGAGATGTTTATCTCCATTAACCAGTCCAACATAACGGAACTCTTATGATCTCACTATAATAGAAACTATTCTAAAGTAAAGGTGGAAATGTACACTACAGTCTTGGTTCCTGCCCAGCATCTGGAGTGTACGGGGAGCCCAGCAACCTGTCACAATTAACGTTGTGAAATAAAGTTTAGTTGATTGACACAAGTTGTGGAGCATTTCAGTTTTTCAAGGTTGGGAGTAACTTCCCCTGACCTAGATTTCCAGGAAGTGTTATAAACACACATTCACAAACACTTCATCAAGACTAAGATGTAGTGTCGCAAAGGGCGATAGTGTCGGATGTATTTCTTTGTCGATAAGTGTGATAGTTTTCTGTCTTGGAAATTAAATTAGTCCGTAAATCATGAATTTACATTGCCAGATCATATTATGAAAGGTATCCGAGAGTCAGGATTAGTAGAAGGCTCAGACAAAATAAACAATGTTTAAATTTACGCAGTAGGCAAATGGAATATTGGGGGTTCATATTTCTTAGTTAGAAATAGATTCTCTAATATTATCATTTAAATCTATGCGGTGCAGTTTTGGGCACATTATCGAATTGAGAAATTTCATTGAAAGTTTAGATAAGGATGACCAAGTTGATAGCCGGCATTTGGAACCTCTCCCACGAAGGGAGATTGGGGAAGCTTTCATTCATTTCATATGAATTAAAGGAAACTGCAAAAGGCTTTTGGTCTATACGAAGCAGCTCCTATTTATATTTAAAACTTTTATACACGTGTAACCTATGCTTGAAACAATCACGTGATCCCATGTCTATTACGTTACCCGGTAATTTGTCCCATAGATCAACCACCCTCTTTCCAAACCAGTATTTACCCAGGTCTTTCCTGAATTGAAACATTCAATATATATCCATTGTTTCCGGTTATATTTTGTGCAGATATATTTAACACCTTATTACTGTCTCCTTTGTTATACCCTTTTATGTCTTAATATACTTAAGTGGTGGCTCCCTCTAGCCGTCCTAGAGAGTATGAATTCAGCTTCTCTTTGTTGACCAGACCACACACTAGAAGGTGAAGGGACGACACACTAGAGGGCCGGTACTTTAGCCACGTTATTGTGACTCATCGCCTGCTTAAGCTTTTCTCTAAATTTAGAAACTGTACTTGTGGTCGATCTCGAGCCCATTGATGATGTGACGATGTGTGTTAATTTTGTAACTAGCTCATCAAATTGTAACTTTCTTAGCTGAATGAATTATGGGGTTCAGTCCCTGAGCCCATTATGTGCCTCTGCAACCCTTTCCACTACCACTCACAAGATGGGTATGGGGTGCATAATAAACGAACTAAACTAACTCGTGAAAAATTTATAATTCATGTGGTTAACTTTCACTGAATTTATTCAAGTGAATTTATATCCATTCTATACAGATTAAGCTTTAGAATAACTTAGTGTTAATGCTGCTAGAAATAAATCCCAGTATTCTATTTACATTATTACGAACACTTATGCATTTATTTTTTTTGTTTAGACCCTTACTAATCATGACTCCCAGATCCGTTTCTTATTCATATTTCGCAATATCAACATCATAAAACCTGATACCTATCATTTCTTACAGCCTCAGATCTACAGTATTCGGCATTAAACTGCATCTGCCAATTTTTCATCCATTTCAGAAGCTTAGCTTTAAGTGATTTTTTTTTTAATTTATTTCCCGCACTATTTTTGAATTGGAAAATATGCAAAAATTACTGCTCTTTTATACCGTTTCTGTATTGGTTCCTCAGCTGGATGAAAAATTACTGGAGAAGTTGGTGCCGACGCTTCCATGACTTAATGTAATGTTGAATGTTCACAGTTCTGCTGAAGTTACGTGTGCATTAACACCACTACCATGACTACCATCGCAATTCCTCAGATTAATGTACCTTGTATTGCTTGACGTGTGTTCCTAAGTCGGTGAGGAACACGTTTAGACGGCACCAGAGGAGCAAATGAGTTGGCCCCCACACATGGCCAAAGCTCGCTCCTTCCCTTCACTTGAACGTGTAGTGAAGCGAACCGTAAATACACATGTAAACTAATCAACGTTTATTTACAAAAATTTTGTCTAATAGACAGGGAGCGTTCGTTACTTTACAGTTGATGTCGTCTAAGCAACTCCCATAATCCATCTAATAATCCATAATCCATCATAATCTAAGCATAATCCATCAACTTTTGTATCTTACCTTGTATGTATGTACCTTACCCGAATAAAAAATTTATTATTTATAATTTATTTATTTATAATAAGCTAATATCGCATCGGGGAGACAGCCAGGCGCCTCACTGACCCATCACACGGCTCCTTGTCGACCATCCTGTCTTAACACTTTGTTTAGGCAACCAATTACAAACACGGCTTTCCTATCACTAGCCGGTAAGCAAAGGTAAAATGCACATGCAACAGTTCTGCAGAATGTAACTTGGAGTCAGCAGTGGAAAACCGAGGGATAGATTTAGAAAACAAGGTGGATTCTGCTTTCGAAATAGATCACATTAGAAGCGAGATCATTGGATCATGACAGGTCATGACCTATTTGACCCGACGGAGTTTGGTGTAAACAGGAAGTTCAGATAAAAAATAATTTACTTAAAAGGAACTTAGACCACTAGTGTGGGAGAGACGAACTTATCCTTACACAGCAAAATTCCAACGACCAACACATGGAGGATAGAAGTAAATGTATGTATGCTGGTTAGCATTGTAAATGTGTGGCCACGTTTGTGGTAGAAAATAATAATAATAAAAAATAATACCTAAATGGTCGGATGTAGCAGCAGCAGCACCACTTCCTGACACACTACACACCCCCAGCTGTGGAACACTGCACAGTGCTCGCGTTATCCTCACTGATAGCGCGAGTTCAAATACCATATTATCTTATCAAGTTTCCCGAACCTGGGTCGTTTATTAGATTGTGCAGTGCACAGAAAAATCACATTAACGTGATGTATCAATGTGCTTGGGAGTACCCAGAGCATAGGTTCGAATCCTTATTACGGTTCCTACTGATTTTCTCAGAGCTAAATTATATCATTCAACAAGATTCACAAAAAGCCTGTACAATTATAAACTTGGCCGAAACGCTGTGCGTATTAGTGGCTTTAGGTATAGTATGTACTAACTCATGTCTAGAAATCCAACATTCTGTTTGTAACTCACCTTGAATGTACGTACTTTAACCTGAATAAAGATTATTATATTATTATTAAAATAAGGTAGAATAGTTATATAGTCAAAATTTACTCATTCATTTACTCTTGAAAATCTTGATTTAAAAATAAAAAGGATGACTAATGCCGTGGGAAACATTTCTGAGATATGAAGATTTGTTCATTAAAATTAGTCTAGCAAAAATACTTTTTTTTTATTAAAAACACATGACTAAAAATCTGTTAGAAATCAATTTATATTTTTCCAAACTTACAAGATAATGCATATTGACATTCGATTACACGATCGAATATACTAGCTTTAGTATACCAATGTGCTTTAATATACTTACTATTCTCTCTCATCTCATTTTTGTTCTTGCAATGTATGTGTTAACCTTTTTGTTAATTCTGCTAGAATTTACCTACTTAAAATTATCTGTTAGATTAAGGACCTGCCCGAAACGCTGCGCGTACTAGTGGCTTTACAAGATTGTAAATACTATGCTATGTATTCTCTCAAACCCAATGTACCTTCTTGTATATAAATAAATAAATAAAAAATAAAATAAAGAAACGACTGAACTTTATTTAAGGGATGCATAAATCATTAAGTTGTATATATGACAACAGTTGTAATTATTCTACTTATACAAAAAATACAAGCAAAAACACAGCGATATTGGAAATTTTATACATAATAGCTGAAAATAAATTATATATAGAATGAAACCCAACATTTAACGGTTCAACTTCTAATATTGCAAAGCTTAACACAAAAGAATACTTATAAAACAATAAATAATAAAAAAAAACTTGGTAACAAGAGAAATTAAAGATAGTTGGCTTATATCAACACTGCATAAAGTTGCCCAGACAAGATAGTTTTATTTAATGTAGGCCGAAGTTCTTTAATATACAAAGATTCCATAATTCTTAAACGTAGCCACCATTACAAATTAGAACCATTAATATTGACTATTTTAACATCATGAAAAGACGATAAAAATAATATGCTGTCTAAGCATTCTTAGACATAATATATACGCTGTCTTAGGCCTAATATAGTACACTTGGTTTCGTTCTCTACACATAGTCGAGAATCCCTGGTTCGATTTCCGGCCGGCAAAGTTTAGTTTTTAGTTTAGTTTATTTATTATGCACCCCATACCCATCTTGTGGGCGGTAGTGGAAAGGGTTACAGAGGCACATAATGGGCTCGGGGACTGAACCCCACAATTCATTTAGCTAAGCAAGTTACAATCTTCCGGAAAAGAAATGGTTGTGCGCGTTTTCTATCATATAATGCACCTGTTTTAGTTCGACCTCTGGGAGGCTCTCGATATAACATGTATATATGAACTGGTTGCCTGTCCCCCGACAAAATGAATCAGAATGCAGTCCCCATGGCGCAGTGGCAAGGCACTCGCCTGGCGTTTCGCGAGCCCTTTGGATTGGGTTCGTATCCTGGCCGGGGAGGATTGACCGGGCGCCAATCCTTAACTGTAGCCTCTGTTCATCCAGCAGTGAATGGGCACCTGATTGTTAAACGATTTGGCGGGTCGTATTCCGTGGAAAATTAGGCCCAGTTAAATTAGGTTTCGTAGCCCGAAACGCTACGCGTGCTAGTGGCTTTACAACAATGTAAAAACTCTTGTATATATCAATAAACCCTTAAATAAATATCAATAAATTATTTAAAATTTAATATTTAAAATCAATCCAGTATGTGTGATATGTTATTCGTTTTCTTCAATTCAGCGAAGCCATTTCAGAAAATGTATCAATTTCGGGCGTAACTTGTCAAAGATTTTCTGTTCTACTCTCACGCGTGCACATTTATTTATTTATTTATTTATTTATTTGATAGAGAATAATAGATGATAGAGAAGATTAAAATGGTAAAGTTGTATGGCTTAGGTATATATATTGCTGGGTTGGGTAGCACTAGATGCAGTGCGAGTTTAAAGCACAAGGAAGGAAACTGTGAAGATGAAATTAGGTACTTTTTGGTTTTATTTTTGAATAAGGCAAAAGTTTTACAGCTTTTCAATTCGCTAGGGAGTGAGTTCCATAGACTAGATCCCTTTATTTGTATAGAGTGTTTGCACAGATTAAATTTGACTCTGGGGATATCAAAGATATATTTATTTTTGGTGTGGTGATTACGGGTTCTATTACATGTGTCCAGGAAGTTTCAGAACATGGTTTGCATTTAAGAACAGGGTTTTGTAAATGTAAATGGCACTAGAGAATGTGTGGAGTGAGTTAATGTTTAGCATGTTTGGGGATTTAAACAGGGGGCTGTGTGTTGCCTGAAAGGAGAGTTTATTATTGTTCTGATAGCAGATTTTTGCTAGGTGATAATGGGCTTGAGGTAGTTTGCAGAGGTTGAACCTCAAGCACAGATACCATTTGTAAGATAGGGATAGATTAGCTAAAAGTATAATGAGAGGAGATCAAGAGTTTGGAACATAATATCTGATTTTAGAGAGTATACCAATCGTCTTTGAGACTTTGTTGGTTGTGTGTTGTATGTGGGTGCTGAAATTGTCTCTTGTCTAGGTATAGGCCAAGGAACTTCCCATCATTTTTATTGCTGATGTTAACATTGTCTATTTGAAGCTGAATTGCATTTGTTAATTTGCTTCCAAATAGGATGTAGTTGGTCTTTTCTATGTTTAGTGTGAGCGTGTTGGTTGACGTCCATAAGTGAACTTTTTTAATTCATTAGAACATAAACATAAATAAATTCCAAGGGCTTATAGACCTATTGGCCCATACGTGGTAGAGTTTCTGGAAAAGTTAGTAACAGGACTTCCAGTATTATGCTTTAGTTATGTCTTGCCCTTGTTAGGCCTCAGACTATGCAAATTAGTTCTGGTCTATAGAATGAACATAAATTAACTAGAACGTGTACAGAGGACAGAGAATAATAATAATAATTTATTTAATTTTGTTGGAGGACAGGAAGCATGCACACATATATATATATATATATATATATATATATATATATATATATATATATATATATATATAATTTATATTTTGGTAGCATTCTTTCTTGTAGACATATGTATTTGAATATGACCGAAAGGGTAAGATTAATGATTCTTTTACGTGTACAAAACCTTGTTCCTAGCTGCAAACCCTGATTTGAAACTCTTCCTGGACAGATGTAATAGAACCCATAATCACTACACCAGAAATAAATCTCTCTTTGATATCCCTACAAACTAAATTTATACAAACACTCTATGCAAATAAATGGACCTAGTCTATGGAACTCACTCCCTAATGAACTAAAAAGCTGTCCAACTTATCCCTTATTCAAAAATAACATAGAAATACTTAATTTCATCCTCATAGTTCTCTATGTAGTGCTTCATACTCGCACTGTATTGTGTGTTACTCCAAAATATGTGCCTAAGCCATATAACACCTTCACCGTTGTAATCACTGCCATCATCTACTATCATGGTTGTTGAATTTTATCATGAACTATCATGAACGCAAATTTTACTACAATGTAGCTAGAAATAATTCTCAAATTATGTTGCAATGTACCTGTCGATAATCCTCAAATTTTACGAAAATGTACCTACTAATTTTCTTAAAATTTTCTTGCAAATGTACCTGTTAACTTTTTTCAATTTTGCTACAAATTCCCTACTTAAAATTATCCGTTAGATTAAGGACCTGCCTGAAATGCTTTGCGTGTTCTGTAAGAATACCAGCTGGACAAGAATGTAAAAACATCAATGCTATGTACTCTCATAAACCCATTGTACCTTCTTTAATACAAATACAAAAATGAATATGTTGAATATGACCGAAAGGGTAAAATTAATGATTAACACGAATCTTCTTAGTATTTCTTATATTTTCTTCACCGTCGAAGGAAACTTAAAAATTAACTCCCCAAAGTTCATTTTCACGATTTATTATGGTCTGACGCCTACGGATGCGTTTCACAAGGTAATCCTTACATTCTCAAAGACAAGTTTACCGTCTTGTTGTTGGAGGGAGATCACACAGGGCCTAAGGTAAATTGCTCCGCCCTATTCATTTACACCCAGAGCTAGAAGCAGAAAGATTAGCAAATCTATTTGCTCCACTCAACTTCCTCAAGCAGCTCTGACTCGCCAACAAAGACTTCAAGCAGCAAAATGGAAAAAAATAGACGATGCTTTAGCCTTACCTGATGAACTAGATCAACTTTTCAATCTGAAAGAACTCAGAAGAGCTACAGAGAAAACTAAAAGCACAGCTCCAGATGAGGAAAAAATCACTTGGAACATGCTGGCCAAGCTAGGAGAAAAGGGTGAAGAAGCCTTCTTGAATCTCATCAACAGAGTATGGGCGACAAGAACTCCATCACTCTTGGAATAGGGCAATTATAGTTCCCATTCCAAAACCTAAATACCCAGGAAATCCAAGACCCATCTCATTAACAAGCTGTCTGGCCTAAACTGCGGAAAGAATGGCTCTTAATCGAATTGACTGGAAAGCCAATCCACTGCAACCAAATATGTTTGCTTACAGAAAAGGTGTTGGAACCACAGAATGCCTTACCTGCCCTCCTGGATCAAAACAATGACAAACCAGAAATCCTTATTTTTCTTGACCTAGAAATTCGAGCTAGCCAATGCTGCAGCTACACTGTGCTGTCTGGGGGATAAGGAAATCAAAGTACACGTTCT